CGTTCGTAGAATAATTTAGCGTTGATCTTTTATTTCGTATTTTCGGATTTTTCATTTGTACAATCTTTTGTTTTTTTTTCTTCCTTTTCTTCTCTCTTATTTTTTAATCAAAATCACAAGTAATTGATTCACCAATCAATATCATGTAGATATAGCATGCGTGTATATTTTTCTTTATAAATATTGTAAATTAAATTGTTTCACACACGCAGTAGGAGATTCATTTTATCTTATTGTCAATCGCTAAATAAAGATCTTTTCGGCAAATGAATTTTTATTTTCTTCGGTTTATTTATAATTTTTAATTATAATTTTCTTAGTTTAATATTTTTGGTTTATGAGTGTTTTTCACGCCACGTGTTCTCCAAAGAAATTTTGCAAATAGGTGAGTTATCACATTTTTATTTTGCATGTCCTCGTTTTTTGACAGCTTTCTTAATTTATTTTTATCACATTGCATGTGCATTTGCTGTCTATTTTGTTTTTATTATATCGAAATATAAATTCATTCATATAGTAAATTCTTCTTAATGAGTAAGGATTATCTACTACTAGTAATTAATATTTATTCTTATCTAATTGTTATTTAGAACTAACTTATCAGCATTTACTGATAAATAATAATAATGTTACAATAATATATTCATAATTAGTGACATCATTATCTTTATCTTTTATTATTTTTATAATTAACTTATTGCTTGCTAATATACAGAGTAATATCAGAGATTTTTCCATTTTTGCTCTTTAAATTTAACTGTAAATAACACATTTTTTAAAAAAGTATTGCGTTTTATTAAACGAACATTTATTTTAGCGCGAGGAAACGTCCGATCCCGTATCATCGACCAACTCCGACACCACCCTCGTCACCGAGTAGCTCTGAAAGCAACAGACACAGCAATTGGTCCAGTCCTAGTCATCGATCCAGTTGTTCTGCGAGTCGTAGTCCGTCTTACACGCGTTGAGAAAGACGCGTGTGAATTTTCGATAGGAATCGTTCCTTCTTCATACACTAAACTCGGAGCGGCGTGGTTCGATTCTTTACGACCTGGAGGAAGCTACTATGTTTCGATTCCTATTCTATAAATTATTAAATTATTAATTTAAATATATATTCAAAGATATATTAATTTAGAGAATTATATAATTGTAAATATTAATTTAAATATGGAAATTCAGATCATAGAGGGTTGAAGAATGTTTCAGAGAAAAAGTATAATAATATCTGTTAAGTTTTCCGAGAGATTACAAGGGATATTCCGAGATATGTGAGAACGCGCCATTATTTCTTGCGACATTAGAAAATTAATCTTCGTTAGCAATAATTTCAAATCATTGATAATTTTTGTGCTGTTTATTCAATAAATTCTATGAGGGACAACGCTACGTCTGCACTTGCAGTTTGCAATTGAGACATTCTGTATATATATTATACATTAATTATATCAATTCAAGCATTAACAATCTAAACAATTTTGAAAGACTGAATCAGCTTTCAGATATTTTTATGTTTGTAGGAAAAGCATTTGTTTATATTAATTTTATGAATTTAGCATAATTGATTTGCAATTAGAATTATCTAAAAATATATGGGCAGTTTGTTGATTATCAGATATTATTTAAATAATATTTACTATTATTTAATTAAAATTAATTTCGAATGGAAACGCCATTCCGAGCATAGTGCGTAAATAACGAATTTGCATATACATTTATTTATTTTTATGATCGTTCAACAAGATATTAATTAAAAATCAGCATAATGATAGTTGTTTACAAAGAAACAAATTTTGATCATAATGCCAACGTCATTCCAGCAATCTTATTGGCTAAGAAAAGATTATAATATCAATTTGATATTTGTTTCGAAATTTTTATTCGAATTATTGTGCAATTTTGCGATTATCGTTAATATTAGATTATTGCGGAGAAAAATAGATATTAATGTAGATTTTAATGTATTATATTCTCTTTCTCTCTTTCTCTAGTCAAACACACAGACTCATATTAAAATGGTGCATTAACTTTATTTAATTTTCTTATAACTTTTTAGAAAAGATTTTCATTTAATTTAAAATACTCGAAAAAGTCATACGTATGCAAGATAAGTGAAAAGGATATTTTACAACAGATGTGAGAACTTCCCTCTCTCTGTGAAAGATGCAAATTTGATAAAATATTTCTCTTCATTTTTGATATTGTAAATTTTTATTACAAGTTTACATTTAAACATTTTTTCAAATGATCATTTTTTATATAAGCAATAATAGAAAGAGATTTGATTGAGTATCCTTCATTCGCTAGTCAAATATAAATTATGTAATATTTTGATATAGTTAAGATATAGATCTAAGCGTTTATTTGCGCAATTACTTTCCAAATTATGTTATCATAAGTCTTTAGACTTATCTTAAACGAATCTTGTGGATTCAATTTATGTATCCATAATTTTTTAGTGCAATGTCATTCATTCTTTTGTACATAGATATTCTTTTATTGAATTTTAAGCAACGTAGATCCTCTTTAAACATATATAGATAAAATTTAGAAATTTTAAATTTTTACTGATATATATGTGATGTATTTATATTTATTTGATAAAGCAGTCTTAATTTTAGCGACCGTGATAATTCTGCAGTACTTTTACATGCAATATTCGCAACTTGGAAAAAATACTCTAATTACGGGAAGATAATTTCTCATGGAGGCTTCAAAGGGCCAGGCAGCAACGTACCAAAAAGACATAATTAGAATATTAGTCTCAACTCGTGGTTATACACGAAGTTAAGGATGGTTACTCGAAGGTGTATGTATAGGGTTAAAGAAGAATCATATTTGGAAAGTCTACATTCTTTACGACTTAACAGAGATACTATGTAGAGATAATAGATCTCAAACACATAACGATTGATTTTTTTAACGAGGAGATCCCCGATTGCTAACATTGAATCATTGCATATGAAATGTATATCTGAAAAATTTTCAAGTTTCCATCCTTTCCATATATCTGAAGAAAAAAAATTATGAGAATAATTTCTTATCCTAAAAAATATGAAAATAAATCTTTAGTTCTTGTTGTTAACATACTGTGTTCGAGAATTATATTTTATATGCAATGACTGCTCAATCAACTGTTGAGCTCCAGAATAATATAGTTCGCATACATTTTACAATTTGTCCAACACAATGATCGTAATTGCTTCCTTTATTTGTTTTCACGTATAATATATGTATTCGTATATACAGCAAAGTTATGGGAATGTTATAAGACTAAGCTCAGAAATAGCATTCTTTCATTGCTGTTACTTTGATTATTTAGAATACTTTCCAAATGAAAAATTTTAATATCATTTATGAATATCGAGAAATGACATGCGAAAAAACTACTTTCAAATTTCGAGATATTTCAAAAGAATAGAACGCTCTGATCTCGTCACGTTCCTCATTTCATTTTGTTAACAGAAACTCGTTATGGCTTTTGAACCTGATGTCTGTATCCACTTATGATTTACAGTCATCGAATGTTACTGTCTCGTTAAAGAAAGAAAAGAAAATTTGGATATTATATCTGTAATATACTCTGTATTGTTGTTGTGTGATTAAATCGAAAACCTTAAATATATGTCACATCTTGTTTCTGAAAATTCTATTCCACATTTTAGAAATTATAAAGGATCGTAAAATTACTGAATATATAATTATAATTGAAGCATTATGAGTTTAATAATTAAAAGTATTCAACAACTCATTGAATAAAAAAGAAAACGTAATATCAGAAAAAGAAATAATTAACAAAATAATGTAAAATAAAATATAAAAATAAATAGAGAAATGCACTAAATAAATTTATATTCTTTATATTCTTATTTATCCTGATCTAGCAATAATATTAGTTGTTTATATTTGTATATATATATATATTTTTATGTTTATATATAGCACAATTTCCATTTATATTGAAATAATATATTTTGTGCACTTCGTAGTCAAATATTAACAAATTATAATAATGGAATGTTAGTAATGTAATAGTATTTCACTTTGTACAAACAACAACAAAGTGCTGTTGATATTTGATAAATCTACTGTACGTTATTCGTGAAAAATATAGTACTTTCTGAAATGATCAAGCATCTGGTGCATATACGCGTCGTTGTATTGCAAATAGTTATAAAAATATCTATCAATTGCAATGAATTCTCGTATTCTTCTACTTCTCTTTCGAAATTTTTGCTCTTTTATTCGCAAGATAGACAACCCATGCAAAACCAATGAGATTCACCATCAAGACCCTCAACTAAAAAAAAAATAAATATCATTAACGATTTCTAGTAAATTTTTAATATCGTTTATAAATAAAAATTTTCAATATATTAAAAAAAATTGATTTAAAAAATATTTATCAAAAATAAAAGGAGGAAAATTCAATATATGTAATAAAAAAGATTTTTTAAATCGAAAAGGAATTCCCGATTAAAATTCTAGTCTGAAAATAGAAGAATATTTAGAAAATATTCTGATGATATAATATGTATATTACCATTGGTGGAACATATTTTACATTGATGTAATGGAATAGTGTCAGATACTTCAGATTAGCCATCAATGTTGGCAAATATAATTTTTGCATTTGAATATAGGCCACTTTATGGGGCTTGCCCTGTAAATAGACTTCTATTTAGAACTAAAATAAGAACTATTAGATATAATTCTCACAGATAAAATCATTAAACATTTAAAGAAACATTAAAAACATTTATCTATTTAATCTATCTGTATTATTTGTTGAGATAGTTTTGTTCAATTTATTAAGCTGTAATTAATAAATTATAATATATTTTTATCTTGTGTAGTTCAGTTAAAAGCAATAACAAGTTTTATATTCTTTGTACCTCGAAAATGGCGAGTAAGTAAAGCGCGAGCGCCTGAAAACATGGTGTGTAGACAAGTCTCTCTATCAGAAGTATTCCTAGAGGATGGTTCACGAGTAATCGTATATATGTGTAAAAGTAATGGGGTACTGGTCCTCCAAACAGTAGGCTACAACACATTTATAAGAGTCAGCTTGCAAATTTTTCAAATATGCTTTGTTAGAAGCGAACAATCAAGTTTACAGCTTACCCAAATAGAGCAAAGGCCAGGACACTGTCTTCATTAAGGTGCCTGGCACCGGATAATTTTTGAGATACCACATTTCCAAGAGCAGCAATAACGCAACTGAAAATAATTATCCTTTTAGTTTTTATCATTCAATGTAACAATGCAAAGTTAAACAAGCTTAATTTATAAACATATTTATTGTAATATTTTTTAACATTAATGTATACACACATACACACACACACACACACACACACACACACACTCACACTCACTCACTCATTCACTCATTCACTCACCCTAAGTATAAAAAATTAATGTACAATCAAGATAAATATATATCTAATTATAGTGATAATTATTCGTGATTGTTAACTGCAATGTAATACGTGTCTAATTACACACGTACTATATGCAGCAGAATGATTCTGTATTTTTCTGTGTTACCTCGTTATCGCTTTTGTCTTCAAGGGACTGCTGTAGAGTCGCTGTAGGTACGCGCTGATAAGATTATACATGATACTGGTCGGTTTGGAAAGCGACATTTTCTCGCATCAAGTGATTCCGGTCTCCGGACTTCGAATTTCTGAAACAGAAGTGGATTCTCGCACAGTAAGTCGCGAGATATGCGCGATAAAAAGCGGTACAAAGTGCAAGCTGCTCGGTCGGCTCATAAATAAGCCCCGCGGCTCGCACCTAGAGGGACGGGGCATTGTCGCACAAATTGCATTTTTTTTACGGTTTATTTCTCTGGATTTCTATGAAATGAAAACTAAAAGAATGCAATAACTTTTTCGACGAATATGAAACAAATTGAGGTAATATGCAAGGATTATAAAATCTCGAATACTCGCAGAGGCTGATACATAACCTCGAATTACATAATTTCGAATTCGGATTATGACGTTCGCAATCAGCGGCTTATTATTTAATGATAACTCGATAATGTATTTCTTTAAATAAAGGGAAAAGATACTTTGTCAAATTTATAAAATGTATATACAGATCTGGAAAGTTATGCGTTGAGCTTTCGATTAAAATTCACGCAAAGCTAAATGTGTTAATCTTTCAAGATCGAGCTGTGTTTTTGATGCAATACCTCGGAAAGGAACAATTAACTTGAATTGTTTTGGAGTATACTAAATTGGCTTCAATCAATCATAATATCGTGCTATCTGTTTCGATGCCACGTGATTGCTGAATTTAAAATTCTTCTGAGTAGGAATATATTTTTTACAGATAGAGCGATTATGAAAAGTATAATTTGTACAGACAATGTACATAACAACATGTAATATTCGATAAGCAGTGATAAGGAGTTATGTCACAATTTATCTTTCAATTTGCAACAGTTCGATATAACACCTGCAGCCATAAAGATCTTCACGTCTATTTCTTCTAATATAAATGACTTTGATTTTAAATTATATTTAAATTATATGTTAATTTACATTTTATTATCTTTTGAGATTTCGAAAAAATAAAGAATAAATTAAATTGAGATTAAAATTGATAAATATTGATAGAAATAGATATAATATTTCTGATTGTATAATTTGTTATAATGTAATTTTTCTTTCTATTCAATAAATATAATAAAGAAATTGACAATGATTAACAAAAATAATGCAGCAGATAAAAAAAGAATTTTTATATATTTTAATAAATTATTTGCTTATTAAAATATTCAATTATTTATCTATGTAATATAAGATATACATTGATATAGATTCATTAATTTTCTTTATATATATTATTTACAAATTTATCTGTATAGACTTTACGAGCTAGATAATTTGAAATTTACATCAGTCTGACAAGTTCAGTATTATTTAATTTAAATTCATGGAACATGAATTTGTTATAAAAAGTCATTAAACAAAATACAAACTGTAAGTATATAACAACGTTAAACAACAGATTCTTAGTGTATATACTTATATATTGACAGTTTGTATTAAATCATATCTTTATGATGTGTGCTCTAATGAACAATTACACAATTTTTCATATAAATAATATTACATCATCGAATTATATTTCACGAACCAATTGCTCGAAAATAAGTATGTACAACATTTGATTATTCGTCGAAATATCAGCTAAGTTGTGCATCACCGTTCTTTGCTTCGATTGGGCTAAGAATGGTGAGCACATATTGCAGAACCTTGACGAGTTCTTGCTCCTGCTTACTGGCGTCAACACTCAGCAACGTAAATCTACCAAGAGCTTCCCGAATGCTTTGAGAGAAACCGGCGCTTCGCGCGATGAGTTTTCCTTTCTGGTTGTTGCTAATAAGAGACCACAACATTGAGCCAGCTAGACCGATCTCGTATGGCGATCCATTTTTAAAGATGTCGTGCAGCAGATTGATAAAATCCACTAAAAGACAACAAACACATAGTGCAATTTGATCTTAACATAAATCGTATTTTTCTTCATTCCATATTTATTATACCTGAACTGAGAAGCCGAGGTCTGTTTGTTATGTTGAATGCTAAATTGCGTAATATCGATATTGCAAGAACTCGACTTGACGACGAAGAACATTTTGCCAAGTACATTAAAACATCCAAAGCGTCAGTAGCCTAAAAATATTACTATGTATAAGTATCAAATAATTAATATATGTTGTTATATTTTTTTTACCTTTGGCACGCACAGCTGTCCTTCCTCATAGTAAGTAAAATCTATTAGAAATTCTAGACAATACATTTCTACCAATGGCCATGGCTTTATCCTTTTAGTAAGGGTAGGATGTATCTTAGTAAACAATTGAAGAAGATTACTCTGCAAAATTAACAATTAATCAATGGTTAATTAATCAATTTAGAAAACAATATATATTTGTATTATCAAGTCTCATCTTGTAATAATAAACAAATGATATAATTACCTTCGAAATACAAACTCTACACTCGTGAACGTGCACTGCATTTCGCAGGATGTGGAAGGCAAAATGCATCTTGTGATTATCAAAAATTTGACCAGCTCTTTCAATTTCTTTACCTGTCACTTGTACAATAACATGTATTAGTGCGAGTGTGTTTGGCGTTTTTCTTAATCCACTCCCCGGTAATATTGTCGTCAGTGTTAAGGATTGTGCAGCTAAAAAGATAAAGTTCGATAATTTAAAAAGATTGCATGAAATTATATTCATATGCATATATGGAAATTATATCTCTTGGTCAATATTATATTGATAACTGTCAAATCGATCTCTTGGATGTCATCTTACCAACATTACATTTCGTTGTGAATGTCGCTATCAATTTTAAGGCAGACGTTGATACTGTTTTATTTAATGCTATCCAAGCCCACAGCTTATGCACCACATCTGCCAAACCTTCCTTCGTTAAGCTTTCTTTAACACATACATCTCCGCACATAAAGTTCATCAAAAGTATGAAGATACAGTTCACATCATACAACAAAGGATGAGTCTGTATTAACAAAAAAGTATTTTTTACTATTAGATTAAATATTTATCATAAGAAATTATAATCTTTATTATCATTATAATCTATATTTAACATATGAAATTATAAAATTTCATATATTAAAGTTAGCATTTTTCTCTACCTTCTTTTCCACTTGCTTCTTATAAAGCTCGAATGGTTGAAGATTCAGCTTGACATACAACTCTTTTAGAATCATCACTGCGGTCTCAGGAAGATTATCCTGCAACGCCATTTGTTTTGCTTTTTTTGATACGCACAGTAAATTAGTAAGAGCACCCACAATGAGATCTTTGTCCTCCGATTGTTTACAGCTTTTTTTACATTTTGCATAATTATGAGCAATAAAAAGATGCAGTAAGTGCTCACATAATTCGCTTCCTATCGTAGTTTGTCCTTGATGCAGTGTTTTGTCTTCTTTTGTATGCAAATTTTTCTCATCTGACTTTTTAGAATGCGCGTTTGCGTTTCTTATTGACAATTTGTTAACCCTCGATATGACATCTCGTAAACTACCGTTCTTGTTTTCCATAACATGCACTATATAAGTATCAAGCACCGTTTGCAATAAAGAGGTGTCACTTCTTCCCAAGGAATTTTTCTGAATCTCATGAGACAGTAGAAAAGCTAAGAAGCTAATAGCACTCATTCTCAGATCTGTTGCAGAATCCTTTATCGCGAAACAAATGGAAACCATGACCATTTCAGGCCCGCATAATTCTAACGCACTTTGAATAGCTTCAAAGTGCTGATCTTCCGTTAACGAGAGCATAGCCACGAAGTTATAGATCTCGGTCCAGAATCTGTTACGCAAATATATCAGTCGTGGCTCGGCAGACTCTAAAATAAACGCACAAATTAAGAATGTGCGGTAAAAGTTCCTTTTTTCATACTTTATATTGAAACATTGAAATACATACGATATAAATCAATATTTAAGAAGCAAAATAAAGTAAAGAGCGAGTCCGGGGAAAAAAGTACAACGGCTGCGTACTCGGTGCTGTGTGCGATGCAATTTGTTAAAACTGTGCAGATGCTGATATACATTTCTAAAGTATCAGAGTAATGACTTAAACTTTTTCTGCTTCCGACATTTTTAGGGATTTCAGTCAAACACCTTAAAATGAAAAGTCAAGTGAGATAATCATACATAGAAAAAAAAATGTTATACATTTTTTTATATACATACCTAAATAAATATTTATCAATGGAATATTCATAGATTTGTCGTACTACTTCGTGTTGTCCGATAAATATTAAATTGTTTAATAAATTACAAACAGCTGTAATAAGCGAAGGCGTCGCTATTGATTGGATCGAATTGTCTACATCCGTTATTTCCGAAACTCTACCGGAAACTACGAGAGAAATGGAGACAAATTACATATAAATTGAATAAGACAGTTCACTTCCTAGTACACAATCGAATAATATAATTACAGAGTTGTAATTCATCCTGACAGTTGTATAAATACGATACGATGCGTGGTACCAATGAAATACAACTAGATTGCGAACTTTGCGCGATGGTCGCTTTGCCGTCATGACATTCTGACTGTTCCGCATCTAAAGTAATTAACGTATAGACATTGGAGCACAGAACGCTGATTTCATGATAGATGTTACATTGTTCAGCATATATCAGAATAGCTTGTGGTTGTA